AACTCGAAACAAACTGAAAACATGCTGAACAGAAACCAGGTCCAGTGTTCAGACGGTGACACCTGGATGGATGTAGAACTGATCTGGTGTCAGTTTTTACCAGAACTCAGATGAAGTTAAATTAAATTAACTCCAACTCTTCTTGTGTCCGTTTCATTCCCCTGTGTGGTTGTTGTCTGTGTCTCAGTGGTATTTTTGGGCCTTCCTGTGGTTGTTTTCCATGTTTTCTGTGGTGATTTTGAATCTTTGTTGTAATTTCACCACCTTTTGTGATGATTTCATGCCTTTTTGTGGTAACTTCAACTCTTTTGTTGTGGTTATTTTGCATCATTTGGTGCTGATCTGGTGTCAGTTTAATGTGTCATGTGTCCATCTGCTGTACTGATGGAGTTCTGAGGCTCAGAAATGATGGAAAAAGTCCATTACAGTGATCAATCTGGACCCTCCTCTGTGGACTTCAAGGACCTGGACCTCTGGAACATTCACAGTCTGAAGGTAGAACTCATTAGTTAAGTTACTGTAGATACAGAACCAGATGTTCTGAGGAGGCTGCAGACCCTCTGCAAAGAAATCCATGAATTATATTAATTTCTTGATTAAACTGGAGTCACTACACGTATGTTCACTGACTGTCCATGTAGAAAGACGTTTGGCCAGCAGCCACAAATCCTTTGCTTTTTCCAGCTCTGGTAATTAGTGCAGCTCTTAGGCGCAGGTCAGATGTCAGGAGTGTTGGTCGATGGCGCTCAGAGGATGAAGATGATGCTAATTGGCTAAGAGCTGTATCGGGTGGGAGGGGGCGGAGCCTGAGTAATCCAATAGACGGACTCAGGAAGCGCAAAATATCCTTCTGCAAAAACAAACCATAAAGGAAGGGTCATGGAGCAGCGAGAGGCTTCCTGTGTGTCTACTGCACACCTGTAACATGAAGTCTGTGTTTAAAAAAATAATAAAAAATCTGTGAAATAAAATAAAAAGTTTGAATCTGGCAGCAAAGGTGTCAGAAAAAGAATATTTTTCAAAATGCTTGAATATTGTACGATTCAAAAACTGGAACAAAAATCAGCAAAATAATGAAATTTCAAACTGATCCAAATACAGTGGAAGTGTGAAATC